TGTTTAGAGACTCTTTCAGTGAGACGTCTAGAATGAAGAGATGTTTGAGGAAATAAGTAAATAATGAATTGATCAGCAATAGAAAATCAGCTGATTGATCTGCAGTGAAGATAATCATCAGTTTCACTTCTGGAGGAAACACTGAAGGTTCTGGTTGTCATGGCAGCAGAGATCCAGCAGGAGGCGCCATGACACCGTTTATTTAGAGGTGATACTTCCTGTTTGTTGACTGAAAGGTGTGTTTTTTTGTGGTCATTGATTATTATTATTATTATTAATAATAATAGTTTATCATTACTATATTAATGCATGTGAACCGTAGCTTTATCATTTTGTGCCTTCTTGGCCAGATCCCTTAAAAACAAGATTCTCATCTCAAGGACCTTCCTGGTGAAACACCGTGAACATCCAGAGCATGTCATGTGACCACACCTCTATTGTTCAGGACTGCTGGACTGCCTGCCAGTCAATACTCAGGGTTAAATCTACTGTTTAAAACACACCTGCCAGTCAGAACACAGGTTAATAAAACAAACAACAAACTCATAGATACCGACACACCTGTCAGTCACATGTTCCTGTCAGCCATTACTGTGGGAATAATTCTGTCAGTAAACTGGATAGACATCCTTCCAGTCAGCACTCGGGGTGAGGAATGACCAGTAGTCATTACTCAGGGCAGCAAACACTCAGGGTCATAGCAGATTCCTGTCAGTCATGATTCAGGGAATATCTCTGTTAGGAAACAAACGTATAATTACCCTATTAGTCATCACACGGGGTCAGGTATTTAACCTGTCAGCCATAACCCAGGGTTACTACCTGCCAGACAACAGTCAGGGTCAGATCGTAGGACAGTCAGTACTGAGAGTCAGTGACTCTCCTCCTTGTAGTCAGTGCTGAGGGTCTAGTATCGTCCTGACAGTCAGTGCTGAGGGTCTAGTATCCTCCTGTCAGTCAGTACTGAGGGTCAGACTCTCCGCCTGTCAGTCAGCGCTCAGGGCCCACCTCCCTTCGTGGCTGCCGCCGTTAAAACGGTCCAAAGTCGGTGCAGATAGTAACGAGCCGCCGAAGCAGCTGCAGCCGAGCAGGAGCGCCGAGTGTCGGACACGAGCAGGAGGAGGAGCCGCCGGTCCGGAGCCATGTTCGCGTAACGAGGCGGAGGGTTGATGAAGCCGCAGCTGCAGGTGAGTGGAGCCGCTAGAATCACCTGCAGCGGGTCGGAGCCGCTCAGCTCCGCCCGGAGACACAAACCTGAGGGTTTAACGCCACCATCCGCCCTGATCAGCAGGTAATCGATACATATTTATCGGTCTGATCAGCTGCTTTGAGCCGCGGCTCTAAATGAAAATACGAACCGAAGCAACTTGATCCGCTGGAGCAGCTGCGGTCAGACAGCACCAGAGTCCGCCCGGAAAACCGGAATAAACGAACCTGCATCTGTTTGCAACCCAATAAACACGAAAGTTCTGAATGGACCGAAGCTCCGGTGTCACGTCTTTGATTCGGCACCAACAGAAAACACACAAATGTTTTCTGTGAATTTAAATTAAACTTGTGTTGCTGCTCCTCCCGTTGATGCGCGTGTTTTCCGACAGAGAGTTTCTGATCAACTGGTGTGAGCCCAAAACAAGTTCTAATCCTGAATTTACTTCAATCAAAGAGTCTGCTGCTGGATTATAATCCCGCTGAAGTCACTAAAATCTGCACTAACGTCTGAAACGAGCCGTCTAACACGGAGCTCCTGGCTGGTTCTGGAGCTCCTGCTTGGTTCTGGCTGCGGTCCAAGTTGTGCTTAAATCGCCCGAATCCCGAATGGAGTTCGGCGCGCTGCGGGTCGGCGGGAGGTGGAGGTGGAGGTGGAGGGCAGCTCCACGTTCCCGTTATTGACTCTCGGTGAAATAAAAACACCTGAAGGACGCTGAAGGACTGAAGCCGCCTCCGGAGCCCAGACGCTGAGGCCGGCGGCTCCGCGTCCGGCCGCCGCTTTGTTTGGCCTCCGGGCGGCCGGTTGCCAGGCGGAGGAGATCCGCTCATTGTTGCCGGTGACCGTCAGACATGAGGGGACAGACAGGTGAGCTCACCTGGCGACCTGAGCAGGTGACCTCCGGTTCATGTGTCCATCAGAGAAGCTCTTCATTCACATTCAGTTTGTTGTTTTTGTGCCTGTTGGCTTCATTTAGGTTCATGTTCTGGACTTCTGGGAGGTTCTGTCCTCACTGCGGGTCTCTGCTGTCAGAGAACATCCTCAGCAGCTTCAGTTTGTGTGTTTTTATTTCTGTTTACATCCCGTCCTGGTTCTGTTCGGGGTTTTTAGGACACTTGTTGATGTTTTTTGTCTCTTTGCGGTCGTAGTTTGTTGTTTTCTATCCCTTGTTGTTGTGGTTCTGGTTCTGTGACTCTGTAGTCGTACCGACATCGGGTCCAGGTCTGTGGTTCTCTGATGTTTGGATCAGCAGCTCTGGTTCAGGTGGACCTGGTTTCAGGAGGTCTGATGAGGAGTCCATGTTGTTGTTGTTGTTGTTGTTGTTGTTCCTGCCTTAGATCCAGTCAGATGGTTTGAGCTGCAGGTCGAAGGTCAGCAGCTCCCAGGAGACCTTCTCCTGCAGATGAACGTCCTCCAGCTGCTCCCGGATCAGTTCCAGGCCCAGTGTGGTTCGTGGGAAACGTCGGTGCAGCTGCCGACCTCTGGAGGCCCCGAGACTATTTCTGGAAATTTCTCAGCCTCAGATGAACCTTTGATTCAGGAAGTGTTCAGACTGAGTCGCTTTATTGTGAAACACCGACAGCTTCCTGCTCTAATCTGGTGCTACAGGGAGACGTATGGATTCATGTGGTGTCTCTGGTGGGTCAGGGGGACTTTGTGGTTCTTCACGTAGAAACGAACCGAAGACGTCGTCGTCCACAAACTCAACAAGATGTTTGTTAAAGCGAACGCAGAACAAACGATCAGAACTCAGGTTGAACCATCAGACAGATGAACTGAAGCCGTCAGTGTGACGGCAGAGACCAAGTTTTAACTTCTAAACTCTGAATGTGGTTTTTATGTAGAAGTCCTGAAGCAGCATTAACAGGAAGAGCTGTGATGTTTGAGGAACTTCACAATAAAACATCAGAAACAGTAGACCTCTGACTGCTTTAGATCTACGTTTATTAAACGTTTTTAACTGTGACTCAGTGAAACGTCTCCTGCAGCTACAGCGTCCAGGTGTGTCCAGGTGTCTCTCCGTCTGTGTGTGGTTGCCGTGGCGATGGTGATGTAACTGTACCTGGCAGGTGTCGCCGCGATCGTCGTGCTGGATTGAAACAGGAAACTGTGACCGGTCAGGAGTCGAGTTTCACGACGACGTCTGCCGTTTGATTTTAGTTTAACGGAGACGATGAAGCGGCTCACCTGCCGGGTGACATCGCCGTGACATCACTGTGACATCACTGTGACATCACTGTGCTGCAGAAAAGACAAAATGAAGCAACAGAACAACAACACAGATGTAAAACGGTGATAAAAGGCTGAAAGGATTCGAGGAAATGTAACAAAAAGACTAAATAACGGAAAACAGGATGACGGGACGCATCATACGTGACGAGTCTGACAGAAACAAAAAACAACAAAATGATGCAATATGACAACAAAACGTGAAAGTACGACAACAATAAGACACAAAATGAGAAACAGAAAGCAGGTGATAAAATAACACAAACGATGATTAAAAGATTCAAAAATGTGCAAAATGACAACAGAAGCGACAAAAACACTCAAATCGTTGAACCAAATGATCGTCCTGCTTCTCTCTGGTCACACTTTTGCGTTTGGTTTTATTTATTCTTTTTTATTTGTTACACAGATCTCTGTGGGCGGGGCCTATACGGGGCTCCTCCCCTTTTGGCTCACGATGGTTTGAGTGACAGTTTAAAGACACGTCATCATAACTTAGATTTCCAGATGACAGTTTTTATTCTAAAGTTCTTCCTTTTGTTTGCTAAATGGAAAGTTTGTTTGTTTGGTCGCTAATGGGTTTCCGTAGCTCGTCGGCCATCTTGTTTCGACGTCACAGAATCGTCATTTCACTTCAACTGATCTTTAGCTGGTCACAGGGAAGTTTCTTTATCTGATTTGTTCTCTGCACTTGTTGTTGTTGTTTGACCTAAAAGAAGATGGCCGCCGCTGCTGTTCTTCTTCTGTAGTGAAACGACTCCTGATTGGCCGATGGAGGGTTTGAGCTTTGTTATTATTTATTGGAGGAAAAATGTTGTTTAACTGAAGAACCGAGTGATGACGGAACAAAAAGCCCCGATTCTGTTTCTGACGTTGATGTTTGTTCTTCGGGTCGACTTCTGCTTTAAACAAACTGATTAAAGTCCAGTTCCGTGTTTTTGTAGAACTTCAGCGTTAACCTGAAGCTCAGAGGAACTTCCTGCGAACCGGTCGGCTCGGATCCGTCCATCGTCACGTCTCTGTTTTCAGCTGTCGGCAGGTTAGCATGACTCGGCGGTTTCTGGGCTCAGAGTCCAGGGATGACGCGGCGGTTTATTGATTCCTGCTGATGATTAACGAGTGTGTTCGTGGAAACAGAAGCTGAAGCTGCTCCCAGGACGTCGGCCCTGCTGAGGTTCAGGGGTTTTGCTTTTGTTGTCCAGATAGAGTGAAAGCTTTCCTTCATATTTTCTCTCCTCGAGTTCCTTTAAACCAACATTTCTTTGTTCATGTCATTCAGACACTTTCAGCGTTTCTTTCTTGTAATGTTTCCCTGTAAATGGACCTGATCCATCTTCATGTTGGGGTTCTTCTCCTCCATTAATCCTCCTGAAACGTTTCAGCTTTTTCTGTAAATGTTCTTTTGTTGTTCTTTTCCTTTAATGTGTCAGAACGTTGTGCTGCTGATGTTTTTATCATCTGACAAATCCTTTGTTTCTGAGCTCAACATTATTATTTTCTGACTTTAATTCAATAATATAAACTTTAGACCTGATCAGCTGCAGTCGTTAAAGCTTTGATTCTAATAAAACAAACGTATAAAACTCTGAACTAATCATCTTGTTTCTCCTCCAGTGAAGCAGCGTCTCACTGATCAATAACCGAAGGATCAATGTGTTCATGTTGTTTAAAGCTGCAGCTGATCGATCAGAAACTGGAGATCATTACCTGATCAGTAGCTGTTATTGATCAGCTTCAGACCAGGACCTGAAGGAACCCGATCATCAAACTTTATTTATTGGGCCCTGAACTGTAAAAGTTTAAAACCGAAGCAGAGAAGAGACGAGACGGTGATGAAACAGAACCCTGTTAAACTTTACTGGTGCGGTCGCAGAGGAACGTTGTTGGTGCCTGAGGGCAGGTGGGGGCGTGGCCTGAGGGCAGGTGGGGGCGTGGCCTCAGAGCAAACACCTGCAGACAGTAAACAAAGTGTTAAAGTAAAAACAAACGTTAAACACAAACGAGAACAAGATCCTTGAACACTGTCACCTGGAGAGACTCTTATTTTGAAGTGTAACCCAACAGTTATGGAGCCACTGAAGACTCTGATGGATGTTGGAACCCGTTAGAACCCGTTAGAACCCGCTGGAACTTGTTAGAACATTCTAGAACCCGTTTGATGTTATAGCAGTTCTAGCAGCAGGATGCACCATCTAACACCGCTCATGGAGGCAGCCATGTTCGTAGTTCTTCTTTCGTAGTCCAGCATCAGACAGCCAATCAGCTGTCAGTGGCTGGTTGCTATGGTGATTCGCTCAGAGTTCTAAAACTATGAGTCGTATTGAAACAGTTTTTTTGGCGTTTGAAGCAGAACCGAGTCATGAACGTTCTGATGTGGTTTCAGGTCCGTTCTGTGTTTTTTCGGATCTGGTGGCAGCTCACAGAGACTCACCAGCACCTCAGAGCTCAGACGTGATGGCAGTCGGTGAGAGTTCTGGTCGGTCTCTGAGCTCTGAGGTGGTTCGTGGAAACGGCACCGGTCCTGCAGCAAATGGACTCACACGGGCTGGAAGAGGACAGAACTCTGAGCTGTTTACACTTTGAATGGAAGTTCTGCTGTAAAATGTTCCGGAGCTGCAGGGTTCTGGAGACGGCTGGTTGTGGGACAATGGGATTTATAACACAGTTAAAACCGTTCACTGCTGAGAAGCTTCCAGTCAGCTACAGGCCCCGCCCCCACCAGCCAGCTGGTCTATAAGCCCCGCCCCCACC